CCCCGCTGGTCGATGCCGTACACGGCGATGCCGTGCTCGGCGAGATGCGGGAAGAACCCGTAGTAGCGGTCCACGTGGTCGCTGAAGCCGTGGAACATGATCAACTTGGCTTTAGCTGGGCCATCGGGCTGGCGCCGTCCCAATGTTAGCGGGCGTGTAATGCGTGAAAGGACGGGTGTTGGGTATTATAGATGTTAATATGTTTGTTTGTAAGAACTTCATAGTATGTGGCTTTCAGACCTACCAGCCATGTCTTCGTGAAGAGGCTTGTGCCGTCAATGGCGAATGACCCTTCTGTGATTTGAACCATTTTGCTGGTTTGGCGATGCTACTAATAGGTAAGTAGATAAGATAAGTAGGATCTCAGTGCTTTCTCTTTCTCACTTAATGTGTAAGTCAAGGTTGGGTTTGCAAATGGCAATGGGGGGTTGAATGCCTTCAATGACGCCTGTCTGCTTGCCTTATCTTGTCATTTACTTAGTAAACAGCACGACGTCAGGCTTACGTGAGAGAGCTGAACTGACCTTTGATCTTTATGACTTTTTGTTTTTATTTAAATGGGCGATGTGCAGCAAGTCCTAATTACAATTGAGAATTGAAGGGATCCGAAGTTGCGCATGCACCTTTTGAATGCCCTTTGTCTCCTTGGCAATTTGATGTTAGTTGACTGAACGAAGTGGTTGAAGCGACATGATGCTTCGTATCCCGTCGAATGAGACCCAAGTGGATTTAATGAACCTCGATTTCACATGTCACCGGCCCTGGCATCCTGGACAAGACCCATCGCGGGCGCTAGTGAGTATAATTAATTATATTATCCCTTGCCTGCCGAGCCTGCGGCACTGGGCGGACTGGCTAAGTCATCCAGCTGAGCCCAGCCCTTGCCGCCCTCGGCTACAACGCCCCACCCAGTCCGGAGAGATTGAGCGCCCGCCTGGTAACCACTAACAAGGACGGACAGACTGTAGATCCGATTCCATCTATCCGGTAGGTCACATACTATCGATTCGTTTATAAAATAAGTTCGACATGACCACTCTAAGAGCCAGCACCAGCTACCTGCGAAGCTCAAGAGGCAGCTAGTCCGAAGGCGGTAATAAAAGACAACTTATAAGGTGCAAGTAAGGCAATATATTCATTCTTTCTTCCAGACCATCAGTTCCTTAACCCCGTCCTCTCTCCTGCCACCTCGTATGAAAGAATCCCACGGACTCCATCTCCATTTCTATCTCGAGCTTGAGTATTAAGTTTCCTGACGTCAACACAATCTACAAAGTAGAAATTACAACCATCCGAAGGATTGATTGAGTGTTCAGCTTCCCACCTGCTGGCACACAACTTCGACATCGGCACCTCTGTAGGTAATACCTAAAGTACGCTCCGCCCGGTTAGAGCATTGGTAGCTTCTTCAAGCAGAGTGAGCAGTGACCAGACATTAATCACTGGTTCTGATTCCGGAGTATAAAAAGACGAAAGTACGTCAAAGGCATAAATATCATTGGCTTTCACAAAAACTTCCTTGTTAGAGATATGCGTCCAAGAACGAAATCCATCTTCCGATTCCTTATAGTGAGTGTATTTACACAACTTGGTGTACCTAAATAGTACCTAGGCCTAGGCAGCTTGTACGATGTGAATACATAGAAGTTGAGGGGAAGCTTGGAAGTCTCAACATTACTAGTATAATCTCAAGCCTCGTATTTACCATCGCGGTTTTTAATGTCTATGGTATCAATCCCTAAAGGCCGTACCTGATTCTCTATGTTTATTTACACATGTACACGTATCCCCTTCCGTCCCTCAACCTTCGTCTCTCCATTTTTTTCATCCCTACTCCCTTCCAGAGCAGGAACTCGATCCATATCGAAAACAAGAACAAAAATAAAAAGTAAGAAGAACAGGAAGAACAAGAACAAGAAATAATGCCGCTTAGAGAAGAGATACATATATGTACATGTACAACAAGCCAATATTAAAACAATACCCCCTCGACGCATGCATCCCCTCTCATCCCATGCTAGATACGTCTCCCAAGCCACATATCTTTTGATAGTCGCGATTCTCGTGAGGGCGCAGAATAATATGCCCATGCCCAATACCATATACATTTACTTCCGCCTCTTCTCCCCCTTTTCCTCCTCCTTCGACCCCGCTTCATCCTCATAAATCTCCTCAAACTCCTCAGTGGTTCCCTCCTCACCCAACTCTTCTGCCTCGTTATGACGCTGATGCTCCGGCCGATACGGCGCAGGTTGTTGCGGATGCGGATTCTCGCCCCCGGTCATCTGCCACTCCATCAACTTACTGAACGCGCTCCTCTCATTCTTGCTCAGGGTATCATAGGACCCCGTCTCAGCGACCGCGCCCTCGTTATTCAGCACGATAATGATATCACTCCGCTTAATCGTCGAGAGACGATGCGCTATCGAAATCGTCGTCATGTTCCCGTTCATGAGCTGCGCGAGCGCCGCGTTCACCGCGACCTCGGACTCGGCGTCTAGCGCGGACGTCGCCTCGTCAAGGATGAGGATATCTGGATTTTTCAAGAGGGCCCTAGCGATGGCGATGCGCTGCTTCTGCCCGCCTGAGAGCTGCGTGCCGCGCGAGCCGACTTCCGTGTCGAGACCCTTGGTCAGTTTGGAAATGAAGGTGCAGTTGGCGCGCGACGCGGCTTGGACGATGGCGCCCCGGTCGGCCGAGGGGTTGCTGTACGCGATGTTCTCTGCTATTGTCCCGGAGAATAAAACAGGTTCCTGGGAGACAACGCCGATCTTCCGCCGGAGCGACTTTGCGTTCATCGCGGAGATGTCCGTCCCGTTGATGCGGATGGTTCCGCTGTCGAGGTCGTAGAAGCGCAACAGAAGCGAGGTGACGGTGGACTTGCCGCCGCCCGAGGGTCCCACAATACACACGTTGCTGCCGCCCGGTATCGAGAAGCTCATGTTTTTGAAGATCCTGTTGTCAGGGCGTGTGGGGTACGCGAAGGAGACGTCCGCGAATTCAATGGCGCCTTTGGCGGACTCTATCGGGGCGCCGATGGTAGGCGGGATCGTGGGCTTGCGGTCTTCGAGCTCGAAAAGGCGGGTCGCGGCTCCCACGCCCTTCATGAGCTCGGACAGAAAACTAGTGACGCCAATGACGCTCGTTCCGGCGTATACAGCGTACATCATGAAAGTCGTCAGGTCACCGAGTGTGAGGAACCCTTCTCGCACGAGACTGCCGCCGTGCCAGAGAAGGCCGATGACGATCATGTTGCCGAGCCAGCCGTTGAGGGCGAAGAAGCGGGCGTCCATCAGGGCTTGGGTCTTTCCGATGTTGAACAGCTTCCTAACCTGCGTGTTGTAGCGACCGACTTCCTTGGACTCGGCGGCAAAGGCCTGGATGGTGCGCACGCTTTCCAATCGCTCGTTGCCGATCCTGTTCAGAGCACCTAGGGCTTTCTGCGACTTGGTAGCCAAGCGCCTCGCAACGCGACTGTATATGATCGTACCAGCACCGATGAAGGGAGCGGCGAGGAAGATGGTCAGGACGAGACTGGGACTGATCCACGCCATTGCGACGAAACTTGCACAGCAGCTGATCAGAGCTCGGAGGCCGTCGGAGACATTCTGGGTTATGCTCTTGCCTACGATAGTGGTGTCGGCAATGAAGCGAGAAGTCAGGTCACCGACCTTATTGGCGTCGAAGAACTCGCCCTCCTGGGCCAGTGTCTTGCGATACAGCTGGGAGCGCATGCGCGAAACAACGCGCTCGCCGATGACTCGAAGGAGGATAACGCGACCAAAGTTAGCTGCTGCGCCGAGGGTGAAAATGAGTGCCAGAGCCGGGAAGAACTGATACAGGGTCAGACCGAAGATCTTAGCTTCAGCATCGCTATCGCTCGTGGCGAGATCTAGAGTAATCAGATTAGCTCAACACAATTTCCAACCGTCGCAGCAATCTTGGGAGCAAGGGTTCCTTACTCATGACCTTTCCGATGGTAAGAGGAACACTGATGGTGACGGCGGACGAGACGAGGAGCAGGCAAACAGCGCCTGCCAGCGGCCACTTCTCGCGGCTCGCGATTCGCAGCAGTCGCCATACCTCTTTCAAGGCGGACCATCTCCTAGTGTCGTCCTTTTCCCTGGTGAGGCGTGCCCTTAGATTGAGCCTGCCCCCCTTGGTGCCGCTGTCGAGGGAAGAGGCGTGGTGGTGCTTATCGAGGGCGGTAGATTCCTCGACCGCATCCTTTACCAAGGTCTCGGCCTTGTCCGGGACGCCGGTGGATTGAGAGGCCGCAATTGTCGGGGGCTTGGCCGTAGGGCTGTTTTGTGTGTCCTTGTTGTTTATGCGCGTGATGGAGAAGGGCCTTGCCGAAGCAGCGCGGAGCCCGAGGCTCGTCGGCGTTGGGAGGAACGAAGAGGGGCCGGATGGGTTCGGCCGGCGGAATCTGGAAGGAGATTGGGTGGCAAAAGAGGAGGCAGAGAACGGGGGCGATGCCGGAGCACTCGAGCGCTGGGGAGCTCCAAGATGGGCGAAGGGACTGCTCCTCGGCCTCGGACAGTTGGGCGCAATGAGGTGGTGTGCGATGGCGGCGCCGCGCCGGGGAAGCGGCAGGGCGTGCCGCACGGCGGGAGCCGACACCATGGTTGGAGGGAGGCTTACTGCGACAGTATCGTCTTCGTCCGGGCAGTGGGTGCTGTGCGCTGTGGCATGGTCGCTCTCAAGGCGCTGTGGCTGTCGGGGGAGGCCGTTTTGTCGAGGGGTTTCGGTGGTGTGAGCCGGAAGGCATCGGTATCGGGAGCTGGGATCAGAAAATGGTGAGGTAGGGGACCCGGTCTAGCGAAAGCGGAATGCCGTCATGGTCGCTAAACCCATAGCAGGAACCGACTGGGCCCACCTAGGTACATGTGTGTATAAGGGTTCATGAAGACGAAGGCTACCATTGTGCCCCGCATGCGCGAGACTTTGCTATATAATGAGGAAAAAGCTGCGACCAACCAGAGACGTCAATTTCTTAGGCCCGGCTGGCGTAATGGTTAACGCGTAGAACTTCTATAAATTATTGGTTATTCTAAGATTGCGAGTTCGAGTCTCGCGTCGGGTTATATATTTTCTTTATTTTTAGCATAATAAATTCCTTATTTATATATAGTTTAATAGTAGCTACAAGCAGGCTACCTACCTAGTCTAAGCTACTTTCATTATGCTATTAATAAGAAGAAGTAAAGTAGAACATATTAACTTAGCTTTTTAACTACACCTATTTCCCACTTATAATCTTATAAAAAAAAGACATAGACCTAGATATACATGACTTGGTTTTCCCAAAATTTGTTCATGAAACATATGAGAACCACATAGTCAACTACCTAGAAATGTTACTAAAATAATATCCGGAGTAAGTTGTTTCCCGACATAAGATCAGTATCACCCACCACACACAGTTAATTAGGCATTTCCTTAGGAGAATACTACCCGAACAACCTCTTGGTTGAGGTGGCCCAATGTTTCACTTGCCAATGGGTGTGGTCAGTTGTAGGAACGAGGGCAATACGACGTCAGAACAAGCATAGCCGAAAATGGGCGGCGTGATAAGCATAAAGCAGTCAAGGTTAAGGTTGGGACAAGGGGAGCAGGGCCCCTCCTTGGAAACGCGCATGTCCCCAGAGATGTCAATAGAGAAATTAATATCTGATCACAACCACAAAAACCAAGAGACAATTATCACATTGTTTGATCACAGGGCTCCGTGCTCTCTCACGGGAACATGGCACAGCAATATGAGACGAAAACACGAGCCCAACTCAATTCAACTCCTGCTCCAACTTTCCGGCGTTAAGCGTAAAGCAACCGACAATGAGCGCGTCATGGTATGTATTGGGGGTATGAATCGGGGGCTATGAAATTTTGCGCTGCGGGTCCCGACTGGGTTTTTACTTCTGCATCATGAGCTGCACAAACTCGTTATCTGTGTGTTACTAACGTTAGCCAGAAACAATCTTGGTTGGGCATGGTTGGACATGAAGACGCACAGTCGATGCGGCCATCGCCATCCTGGTCGGCCTCGCGAATCATTTCGTCAACCTCCTCGTCTGTGAGCTTCTCGCCGATGGAGGTCATGACGTGGCGGAGTTCGGCGGCGGAGATGAACCCGTTGTTATCACGGTCAAAAACCTGCCCAACGTGTCAATCCTATGCTAGTATCTTTGGCCACGAATGAGTGAGCTGGATGACGGACCTTGAAGGCTTCTCGGATCTCCTCCTCGGAATCGGTATCCTTCATCTTCCTGGCCATCATGGTCAAGAATTCTACGCGATCAAGAGGTCAGCCTGTTGTCTAGTGTTGCTCGTGGCATCTCCAAGGCCTTACCAGGGAAGTCGATGGTGCCGTTGTTGTCGGCATCGACCTCGTTGATCATGTCCTGAAGCTCAGACTCCGAGGGGTTCTGGCCCAGCGATCGCATGACGGTGCCCAGCTCTTTTGTAGTGATCTGTCCTAATACGCGAGGGCCGATCAGCGCCAGTGTCCATACTCATGACGTAGAGACCACCCGTGGAGGAAGCAGAAGGCATAGCGTTGTTGGCTACAGACGGTCGATCGGGAAATTGACAGAGGTATGCGACTAAAGTCATGAGAATGTAGTGCAGGGCGTTACTCACCGTCACCATCTTTGTCCTAAGGGGGAGGTTAGCGAGGGTCGATTGGACAGATAGGAAGGCCAGGGATAGAAAGTGGTAGGGTAGCAGCAGGGCAGTGTGTGAGCGTGTGTGGGTGGAAGCTGTGCTTGAGGACTTGACTTACGAACAGGGAGAAGGCCTCCTTGAACTCGGAGACCTGCTCTTCAGTCAAAGTGTCGGCCTAGAATAGGAGGTTTAGGTCAGTGAGGGCGCTGCAAGGACGAGGTACCGGAGCTGTCGAAGCGCGCGGGGCAGGCAAGGGCGGGGAAGCCTGAGAGGCGGTAGGGCTGATGATGAACTGACCATTGCGCGCTATGAAGGTTGGTGGAAGCGAATGTGTCGAGATTTGTCACGGAGGCCGACGGTATTGGTAGTCGGGCAGAGGCGTATTTAAGAGTATGGCCAAAGGTGGGGGGAGGAGAGTAAGGTCAAAGATCGAAGATGGGGGAGAGTTGGTTGATTTCAACTTGGGACCGTGTCGAAATAATAATGGGCCATGAGGGGGGTTGAAATGTACATAGGCGAGAGGTGAAAGCGAGATGGGAGATGCAAGCCGGACAGGGCTGACACGCTAATATAGAGCTACTATGTAGCCCAACCTCAGCATCTCAGGTACCTACTTGGGGAGGTCCCACTACATGCCGTGCCAGCGTGCGCCTGGGGAGGTGGGTGGTACAGGGGCGGAGGGAGGTCCAGCACCAGCGGCCCAGGCCCTGCGAACACCGGGCGAACATAATCCTGGGAAGGACCTCATTTCACGTACGTCTAAAGAGGAAGTATCTAAGTACCTAACCTAAGGTACCTCCTAAGAGCAACAACACCTGCATTGAACACAGTCTATCTATTGGCGGTTGTCAAAAGCTTGGAAATCCTATAACTCACAAGAGACAGGTCGCCAATCCCTGCACATGCGAACCGTGGCACGCAACTTGCGGGAGGAAAGGGACGGCAAGTATGCCTTGCCTGAACGCCTTGCTTACGTGTTTGCATTAGGCAGATGGAACGAAGAATGATGAAAGTGTGACAGGTCCAAGTTGCAGCGCCTATCACGCCGACGGGTCTTCCTTTTATGGGCAGTATAACCCCGTTCGAGCCTGGCTTTTGTAACAGAGTTTCGCGGGCGTGGTCCAGTGGGGAGGAGGGGGGGCCGGGGAGGATACAGGCGGGATAGGGATCCTATTAGTACCTACATGTACCTACCTCCTAAGGTATGTAGGTACCTAAGGCAGCTTGGCGAACACCGGCTAGGAGAGCCGTTCGCGACCTCACTGCCCCCATCGACGCCGAACAACCAACCAACGGGCAACCAACCAACCACAAGCTACCTACGTCAGCTGTCATATGCTACCTCTAGCCATCAAACCGATACAGCCTCAGTCTTCAGACCATTGCCATTCCTTCGCTTGAAGCTGTCAAACTACCTAGATAGTGCCTATCGTACAGTGTATTCGACTCTCCTCGCAGAACTACATTGCGCCTCGTCGCTACGCGCTCTGTGACACAACAAGCAGCACATCTGACTACGTCCGCCCGCCCCCAGCTCATCGTCTCGACCACGTAGCTCCCGCTCCATCTCTCTCTCCCTTTGACCATCACTCCTGCCAGTGGCTGCACAGTAACAGCACCTAATCAGCGGCGCATTTCGCCCTCTTCAGGGTCCGCCATGTGGCGAGACCGCACCAATCTGTAAGTCTCATGACCGGAACAGCTACACCATGCCGTGCCCAGCCTCGACACATTGTCGCTGACACCCGCCGTGACCCGACATCCAGCTACATATCATACCGCCAGTCCTACGCTCACCATCCCGCCAAGAAGACACGCTACGGGCCCGGCCCCGGACTCGGCGGCGGGAATGCCTTCTCAGACTTCGGAAACGCTAGCGGCGAGGATACCCAGGGCCTTCTGTCCGCCGCCGACTACCACGACGACGGAGATGCCGTCATCGAGATGGACCTCCTCCCCCCTCGCTGGGCCGACGTCAGCGACGAGGTCACCGACCTGCTGGCCGATATCGCCCGCAAGTCCCAGACCCTCGAGCGCCTGCACCAGAAGCACGTGCTCCCCGGCTTCAACGACGAGGACGCCAAGCGCGCCGAGGAGACCGAGATCGAGCGCCTGACCCAGGACATCACCAAGGGCTTCCACGACTGCCACCGCTGCATCCAGCGCGTCGAACGCATGGTTCGCGACGGACAGCAGGGCGGCACTATGTCGCGGGCCGACGAGGTCATGGCCAAGAATATACAGATCAATCTCGCGAGCCGGGTACAGGAGGCCAGTGCCGGCTTTCGCAAGAAACAGAGCGCTTATCTCAAGAGTGCGTTACACTCCCCTCTTCCTCCCCCCGACGAGCAGGAAAGAAATGAAAGGCTGACCCCGTAACCCCCCCTAGAACTCCGCGGCATGTCCGGCCTAGGCGGCGTATCCCCCATCGGCGACCGCGCCAGCACGCCCCTCGCCGGGGCCTCCACATCCTACGCCTCGGACCCCTCCCTCCTCGAATCCGACGCCGACCGGTCCTACTCGCAATCGGCCCTCCAACAAACCACCGCCCAGCGGTTGCTCCACAGCAACGACGCCGCCATCCTGCAGCGCGAGCGCGAGATCGAGGACATTGCGCAGGGCATCATCGAGCTATCCGACCTGTTCCGCGACCTGCAGAACATGGTCATCGACCAGGGCACCATGCTCGACCGCATCGACTACAACGTCGAGCGCATGGCCGTCGACGTCAAAGCCGCCGACAAGGAGCTCGTCGTCGCCGAAGGGTATCAGAAGCGGACGACGAAGAGGAAGGCGATATTACTCTTGCTGTTGCTCATTGCCGGCGCCATCATATTGCTAGTGCTGAAACCCAAGTTTGTGGGGAGCGGAGGGGGAGGGGCCGGCGCCGGCGCTGGTGCTGGTGCTGGTGCGGGTGGTGAGAATAAAGATTCACCGGGAAAACCTCAAGGAGACACGGGCGGGCTTGGGTTGTAGTAGCGTCAACTTCGGCAGGCCGCACTAAAACTCAAACATGGAATACTCGCTCAACACGCGCGGACGAAAGAGGAGTCTGCTGCGTGAAGAGCGTTGATGAGGGTTGGCTCTGTAACAACAGGTAGAATCTAATAAGTGAGGCAGGAGGTACGCGTATATACATACGGCCTGCACAAACGACTGATTAACCGAGTCGGAAATTCTGTTTTGTAAGAGAGATTTGCATGCATATATATACATATACACACACATACGAACTTTTGAAGTTTTTGAATCATTCATTGTCTACGTCGTATTTTGGGGGTATCGCTCGTCTATATGGGTAGTATAGGTAGTGTACACAAGGTTAATTTACATGATACGGTTCGGCCGAGCATATCTCTCAAGCGAATACACGTACCCCCCAAAGCCTCCGCGAAACTCTTATCTAACGTCGCGGAAATG